TATCCACACCGGGCGAGCTTGAAAAATATGCCCGGCCACGGTGGGATTCGAACCTACGACCTTTGGAATACTAGCCCAATGCTCTTGCAACTGAGCTACGCGGGGGGGAGATCAGTGGGGAAAATGTTCTATCACTGCAGCAATGTTATAGGAGCTAGACCGATGACACTGAGAAGTCCCCAGAGCGGAAAAAGACACTCAATTAGGTCGCCTTCAGGCAAAACGATTAAGATGAAGTAGATGTATAGATAGAGCCGTTCCCAATTAATCAATTTTTCGTTTTTTCTGCAATCGATTGCACCTCACAATAATCGGATTATTTATAACAATCCTTTATCAGTATTTCCTTTCACTGATAGATAACGTTGATCTTGATTTAAGTTTTTCTCAGATATTTAGTAGCGCTTATAAAGTGTTGAGTTATTTGGTTGTGTTTTCCGGGGGTGCCCCGGTTTCCTCCCACCGGGAAAGTTAACAGGGTGGGTTAGGATAAAGAAAGTAAAATCACAATTGTTGTAAAGATAAAATTACCTACACTGCCAAAAACGCCCAGCCTGTAACAATGTTGTTGAAAACAGGCCCGAACAATATTTTGCTGCCCATATTGTTCCTGGTTGTAACAATATTGTTCAGCATTGTTCACCTGGTTGTAACAATATTGTTCAGCAATGTTCACCGGGTTGTAACAATATTGTTCAGCATTGTTCAGCTGGTTGTAACAATATTGTTCAGCATTGTTCACCTGGGGCCGGTTGTATAAAAACGTAATTAGCGCTAACTGTAGTTAGCGTTAATCACTGTAGTTAAATCCTTAACTGTAATTAGTTAACTACATGACCTAACTGCGTTGCACAAAACGTAGTTAGTCGGATAGTTAACTAATCACGTAGTTAACTGTACGTGGGGCTTGCGTGGGGCGTTTAAACAGAAAATTACATAAAGTAAGCAGCGAGTAACGACCGCTGACAGACATTTTCAACACGATTGTGGACTCGTATTTTGCAAATAGGCGGGAATTTTATTCAAAACACTAGAAAACAGTGAAAAATAAACAAAAAATAAAGAAAAACCGCCACAAAAATCATAAAAGAATGCAGTTTTTCCTTGGGATGTCTACGTTAAACCAAGGCATAGCTGTTTGGCAATTATATATCAGTGTTTCTTGGTGTAATGGAGCATACTTCTTCTTCGAGAAATCCTCCTGTGCAAAAATATGTTCTGTTTTCGTAAAAACACCAAAGCGATAGCATTTGAAGAGTTGATATTGTCAGGAAACATTCACAGGGAAGATAGCGATTGAAAATCTCAGGTAAGCGTTGCTTTTCATTATTGTTTTACTGAAAAATGTTGTTCACTCCTATACAAACGCCATTTTTAACTACGTTTTGGACAGTTAACTATACCCTAAAGCATAGTTAACTTTAACTACTTTTTAACTGCAGTTAAGGCTAACTACACTTTTATGCAACCGGCTTAACTACGTGATTAAAGTTAACCACTTTTTAACTACTTTTTAACTGCAGTTAGCGCTAACTACGTTTTTATACAACCGGCCCCAGGTTGTAACAACCAGGTGATCTCGTGTTCGTATTTTATCCAATCAGCGCTCAGAAAGGGTTGTCCGAATAGAAATCCATTTTGATGTATTCAGTCAATTATATCTTTCGTTATTCTTTATGAAACTAGTTGAAATTTTGTAATTATGTTTGGTTATGAGAACTATAGCTCTGACAAAAATATGGAATCGAAATAAAGTATATCACAGGAGATATTCAGTTGTTTTAGTCACAAAATGGATTTCTATTTGACAACTAGTGCCAGTACTTTTCCGCGTATCAAGATCATCTGGAATATTGTTCAGCATTGTTCACCTGGTTGTGACAATATTGTTCAGCATTGTTCACCTGGTTGTAACAATATTGTTCAGCATTGTTCAGCTGGTTGTAACAATATTGTTCAGCATTGTTCATCTGGTTGTAACAATATTGTTCAGCATTGTTCACCTGGTTGTAACAATATTGTTCAGCATTGTGTAGGCCACATGCGCTAAAGAAATGCTAATCGTAATAGTTTATTATGAAAACAAACCACAGAAATAATGTTGAAAATATTTGTCTTTAGGAGCAACTTTGTCTACACGGAAATCCTGATGCACAAGACCAGTAACTGCTAACACCTTAAAACACAAAAATAAGTGAGTCCCACAGTCCTTTTGACTCCTACAACCATATCCAATTTCTGCGGCAGTCTTTATCACTGGAATAAAAATTGAAAATCCATAGATTGGAAATTGTATGGACCTTTATTGGCAATAGAATGGATTTTTGACGATCCATGATTGTACATTTCCATACTATGGATATAGTATCGAAATAGTATCGAAATTTAGTGGTGCAATTGCAAATGTCATAGTATGGATTTCACATTTTTTCCTTGTGTATACGAGTCGTATTTTTTTAACTACCTGTTTTGTAGTTAACAACAGATGTATAGAACTCACAACCAATAAAAAGAAACTTTAATTTATAAATACTAAAGTTTCTTTTGGGTTATTCCAATTATCGGAAAAGATTTGAAAACAAATTTTTTTTAAGTTTCAAAATTGTTTTCACTTCCTCGATTTGGCGCTAAAATAACTCTTTGGACCACAATCATGCAGTCAGCAATATAAAAATGTCACTAGCTGTGCACAGACAAAAATGAAAATATGTTACCTCGTGCAAATGTGTTTTAGGATTCAACATTGTCCGCACTGATACACTCAATACCACCTGAAAAAAAGAAAACTTAAGAGATTTGCTTGACGACAAATATAAATTATTAACCATTTGATCTATAGTTTGAGAAAAACGTCACAACTATTTATTTAGCAAACTTTTACGTCCTTTCTTAAAGTGTCACTAACCCAAAATATAATTTTCACTGTCAAAGATTCGAGATATGATGTCATTATATAGATGAATTTTTGAAGCAAAAAACAAACACTACTTTAGAATACATCTATATCAGGGTTGCCAGATTGCTGAATAAATAAGCCAAACATTGTTATAAACGGCCCTTTGATGTCTTTGTTTTGAACAAAGAAAACAAAAGGTTATAATAATATTTGGCTTATTTATTCAGCAAACTGGCAACCCTGATCTATATACACACTGTAAATGGATGATTCCAGCTATTTAGCCCTGCGAAATTTGCAAATTTTGTATTAATTTCTATTACGCGTGGGAAAATGCACCAATGGGCCCAAAGTGGTGCATTTTCCCGTGCGTAACACAAATTAATACAAAATTTGCGAATTTCGTAGGGCTATACTTTCCGCATTTTACAACATTTTGCGGTCAAACTTTTTCAAACTACTAATTTTAACATGCTCTTTCTAGCGGTTGTGATGGATTTTGTTCTTTCTGCCGAGATCAAAACTTAAGCCCCGTTTACAGTACGCTCAATTTTTGGTACGGCACGGATAAAATTGGTATCCGTACCACTTTTTGGTTCTTGGACTACCTATTTAGATAGTCCAAGAACCAAAAAAGTGGTACGGTACCAAAAAATGAGCGTAGTGTACTGACGGGGCTTTAGTCTACAAAAAAAATAATACAAAAATCACATTTCGGGTTAGTGACACTTCAACTATTCAAGTAAACATTGAAACAAATGTCAACATACCAAAGGGGGTGGATCAAGGTTTCCTTCTGTTAAAGGTGTGATGTGGTCTGGCTTACCAACAATTGCCTGTTGGTGAAGATATGATCAAAGATAAAATCCCTAAAAGTTACAATCGCAAGGAAAGCGCTGCTTTCATGCCAAACATTTAATTGAATCAATTTAATTTTATTGTAAAACTAATTGGTAATTCACGAAGAAAATTAAAAAGAAATCAATGTTTTAACGAGGTGTTGTATCCAAATATACAAAATTCTCCAGCTAATGAAATCCTTATATGTTTGAGAAGCTATATACATCATTCTTGTCCGTGTTGTATCAGAAATCGCGCCTTCGGCTCAAGTTTGTATGTATCTGATACAACACGGCCGCTCATGCTATATACATACTGTATTACGTGTAATATTAAACTTCTGGAGCCGGTAGTATAAAACAATTAACTATTTTTTAACCACCAAACTCTAACTTTAACGGCTTTTTTATTCATGCAGACCATAGGCAAACGGAGCTGATCTTTTCCGGGTATCACACAAAAATTTGCCCGAATTTTTATGGAGGACTGTAATGAAAAAACCTGAATTTTTGTGATTTTCCCGAAATTACTTGGTTTGCTATTTTTGGTGGGTGGTAATGGAGCATTTATCCCCCTTTTTCTTGCCTCGTACGCGTATATACCAAGGCAAGTTATCGAATATTGGTAATACTGAAGTGAAACAATTTGAAAAAGTTGGACACAAAAATTTAAAAAAAAAAATTGAACCTGAACCCTGTGGACAAAAACGGTTTCTTAAATTTTATTAGACATGTAATTCTATTTAGACATGATGGCTCAAACAAGAGTAGACACACTCTATTTTAATACCTCTAACTTGCACCAACTCATGGGTTGATTTGGAATTTCTAAACATTCAAAAGAAAGTTTATTATGATGGCTCGAGCCATGAAGGTCACTACCAAACAACTCAATGCAATCGAAAGTAATCAGTTGAATGCACTGGTTGAGAGTATCGTAAGCGCTCTGATGAGTCCCCAGGGACTTGTTGACTGTCAGGGCCATCAAACAGGGGATTATTAAAAGGTCTGCTTATTTGGAATTAAAGAGAAAGGCTTATTAGAGAAAGACTTCTTAGAGAGAGGGGTTTATTTTGATTATATCTTCAACCTTATTTTCCCTTTATCTATGTGTATGTTGTTAAATTTAATATCCGTTTGTTCATGTACAAAAATTTGTAAAGTTAATAAATAAATAAAGATAGAAAGGCTTATTAGAGAAGGGAGCTTATTAGAGAAGGAGCTCATTAAAGGACATTGGCAACGAAAATTTTTATTGGCTATTTCAATCCTACTTGACAACCTAACTATGAAAATATTATCATTTCCTTCTCGAACATTTTACTCTAGGAGTAAAATGCATGCAAACTTTGTGTGTCGCCGCCATCTTGGAAAAAATGACCTTCGAAGGTCAACGAATTTTGTGACGTTATTAGATGGGTAGCACCAAAACTACAAGTGAGAATTCTATTGCGTGCGTGTCGTGTTAGCCAAAAATGTGTCGTTTTGAGCGTTATACTGGCCAATACTTTTCGCAATCAAACAAGAGAAGCCTACACTATCAGATAAAAACATATCGAGCGACTGGGAAAGCAAGGAATGGCGCAATTTACAATACAGGTAATTGATCATAAAATATTGCATTAGTGTTTGCCTTGTTTACACTCGAATACTGCGTTTATTTAACACGGACTAGGACTGATATACTATCAGAAATAGTGTTACAAATAAGGAACATACTTGGTAAAACGTTTCTGCCCTTCGTTTAGGCTCAAAGTGCACTACGCGTGGTAATACTCGGTATTGTTTTATAGTCATGAAATTGTGTTTACCCATCTAATGACGTCAGATAATGTTTGCTGTGGCACAAGTGTTTATTTTCAAAATGGCGGACTACTGTTGAACTTTTTATTACATTTTCTCAACAACTAAATGCGACAAACCGGCCAAAATATAAAATTAAGTATTCCGTAAGCATACCTAATAGATATAAGCAATAAAAATTTTGGTTGCCAATGTCCTTTAAGGAAGGGGCTTAATAGAGAGGGGATCTAGTAGAGAGGGAGGCTTCCACTAACGCCCATACGAAGCGAATAATTTTTCTTCTCAAATGTTTCCCATAAATGAAATGCATGCTATCTCCCAACCTAATAACGATACATAACAATAATTCGTAGCGGAGCTTCTCATGCATAAAAAATAATTCAATTTCATCAAATGAGATCAAGAATAAAACCTATCTATAAACACCATATTTAATTCCTTGTGTCTATACTTTTTAGGGGAGGGTTATTAAAAAGATAGTACTAATCTTGTATCTAGGGGTTAATATAGAGAGGGGGTTAATATTAGAACGTTTCCTCTATACGAGGTTTAAGAGGGCCTCTCAGTAAAATCCACTCACTGGTTTGGGGAAGGGAAAATAGATTTAGCTCATATTTTGCATATGAACTAGACTTTGGTCAATATTAATCGAGCCTCTTTCAGAACGTTTCAACTTTCTGTTTTATAGGAGTTATAGCCATGTTAAAATTTGACCTTGCGAGAATATTTTCAGACCGGAAATGAAGGGGAATTTTACAAGAATTCATCTGATTTTTTAAAAACGTTGTGATGCGTTTATCCCCTCCAGTTACTGTTCACATGCAAGATTAACACTAATACTCTCGTTTACATGGAGATTGAACAACTTTATTTGCTTAATACGATTTTTTTATAGTTTTACGAAACTATGTTTTCAAGATGGCGACGAGAGGCTGAAAATTGCGCATATTTTACTTAAAATAGCTCAAAAGTGGCACCTATCTGAAGTTCAAAAGGCATGTAATTTGAAAGTATACCTACTAAAGTTAAGTAATCAGGAATAAAACTCGTCTGCAAGCAATTTTCTGAAAAGTTATAAATCTCCAAATTGGGTCTATTTTTAGCTGTTTGTTTACATTCGCGTGTTCGCTGATCAGCGACACTAGTAATAATTAAAAAGTTAAATAAGCTGGTTTATTATCCAGGTTCTAATTCACAACATAAAAACATTAAAAATACAACCTTAACCATTCTTGGCTTATTCGCATGAATAATTTCACAACTGTTAAATATCTTTTTAAGGTATAATCGGGCAGTACTTTCTGTGGTTGTAGCAAATTTCAAAGCTGTCAGTATCTCTGCCTGTATATAAAAAGTGTTCGGTGCTTTAACTTTTTTATTCAACTCGTCTCGTAATCTTTTTCTGTCCCTGTAAATGGAAATTTTGCCGGAAAGGTCGGACATTAATTCTTGCAGCATGGATGCAACATATTTTTGTACATAATTGCAGTCAAAATACTACAACCTTCCCACTTCCGCTTTTGTAGTCTGTTGTCATTTTGTTATTTTGTTTTGACTTTTGCATTATTGTAGCGGTTGCCGAATTATGGAGAAATATGGCGATAAAATTTAGTTGTTTTTTTTATTTTTGTAATATTTTAAATAATGGTAACAAAGGATGCATTTTTCGTTTGATTCACTGCATATGAACACATAAAAGTTTTGAAATTTAACTTATGTCGTCGTATTTCCCTATAATTTGTTAACCGCTACAATAACAGAAATACTGCAGTAAGAGTCAGAGATTTTCAAAAAAATAGTTTTTAAAAAAGTTTTGAAAGTTAGATTTTTAAAAAAGTTTAAAAAATTTAAAACGGCTAAAAAAGGGATTACTGGTTATAGGAGTTAGGGGATTAGTGGTTAGGGGTTAGTGCCGCGAATTTATTATTATGATAAATTCAAAATGTGCTGCGAATTTATCATAATGATAATTTCGGAAGTGTTTAAGAATTTACTCATATAGTAAATTCAAAGGTGGAGCTCATGCTGAACTGCAACACTAGCTTGCCAGTTATTTTTTATAGCAGCTCCTATTTTTACTTTGTGCATGCTTGAGTCATGGAAAAGAACTGTTCTTTTGCTGGCCTGGGGAATTTTGCATGTCGGAAAAAGCCGGGGAACACAGAAAGTTGCACAAATTGGGGAGTGTAATGCAGACATTTAGCCAGTAGACAAATTTGGGTAACGTTGTTTACATCGTTAATTGCTACCCAATAAACAGCTTTGGAGTAACTCACATGCCTAGTTACTATTATTCTAGTTTACAGAAGCATAGACTGAATAGAACAAAAGTAACTAAACATTAAACTTATGTATTATCACTTTATATTTACTGAGATCGAGGGAAACAGTGTGTTTTGTGGAGAGCGAGCTACTTATAGAGCGCCACTTATAGATAGTAAGAGCCAGAGAGAGCCACTTATAGATAGTATATAAGTGTTAAAGTATGAATAATTCATCAGTCGATTATTTGAGTGAACTTAATTTGAAACCAAAACTGGATAAATGGAACGCCGTAAGTAAAAAGTTTAAAAAATGAACTTTGAAACTCCGCGGTTGACACGCATGCGTATTGCACCCATTTTATTATTAACTGGTCAATAGATGTTTCATTGCGGACCGGTTGCCGAACATGAGGTTTTGTGGACCGGCACGTGACACGGTTTTGAATAATCGGCAATTACCTTTGTTCTATTTTATGCTTTTGTAATCTGGCTAGTTCCTCGGGTAGAGGAAAACTGATCACGTGATCGGTTAGTTGTGTTGTTTGTGGCGTCAGATATAACCCAATCCCTATCTCTAAGCCTAATCCTTAATCTAACCCTTACCCTAACCCTTCCCTAACCCTAACCCCAACACTAATCACTATAACTAACTGATGACGTAATCTGTGATGCAAATTCTTCTACCCGAGGAAGTACCCCATGGTGGCTAGGCATGTGTGTTATATAAAGTTGTGAATTGGGTATAAACAAACGTTACCCAAATTTGTCTAATCGAGCTAGACTGGGGTCAGTACACGCATTTTCATAAAAATAGCAACCCTTCGGCTAAACAGGATTCTGATTATCATATTGAGCGACATCAAAATCATGGGAGTTTCTGCAAAGTGCATTCAACCGATATTACCTGTAGCACTATTTCATTACCTAAACATCGCACAGAGACACTTTTGTAAGTTTTCCACTCACATTGGTCGTTCAGACGTGCACCTCCCGCCGTGGGAGCGGCAGTGAAGGTCATAATCAGGAGATTATGGTATTGTGTCAATGTATTGACGAAGTTCTTATTATATTACCAATATATTATTTAATAACATTAAAAGATATCAGGGTCGTAGACACCAGCAGAATCGTTGTAACTGTACTACTGTATGTGTATATTGAAAGTGTATAATTAGTGCAAGTGTAAGTTAAGTATAATGTAAAGCAATTCGAATTCAAGAATGTTCTGTACACGATCGCTTGTATATATTGTAATTATATTTTCACAAAATTGTATATATTCTTTTAAACAAGCTAAAAAGTTTACTCATGGGTAATAAATCAGCTTTAATATTTTAACTCTTCAATTACTGGTGTGGCTGATCAGCCAACGCGCGAATGTAAACAAACAGCTAAAAATAGACCAAATTTGGAGATTTATAACTTTTCAGAAAATTGCTTGCAGACGAGTTTTATTCCTGATTACTTAACTTTAGTAGGTATACTTTCAAATTACATGCCTTTTGAACTTCAGATAGGTGCCACTTTTGAGCTATTTTAAGTAAAATATGAGCAATTTTCAGCCTCTCGTCGCCATCTTGAAAACATAGTTTCGTAAAACTATAAAAAATATCGTATTAAGCAAATAAAGTTGTTCAATCTCCATGTAAACGAGAGTATTAGTGTTAATCTTGCATGTGAACAGTAACTGAAGCGGATAAACGCATCATAACGTTTTTAAAAAATCAGATGAATTCTTGTAAAATTCCCCTTCATTTCCGGTCTGAAAATATTCTCGCAAGGTCAAACTTTAACATGGCTATAACTCCTATAAAACAGAAAGTAGAAACGTTCTGAAAGAAGCTCGATTAATATTGACCAAAGTCTAGTTCATATGCAAAATATGAGCTAAATCTCTTTTCCCTTCCCCAAACCAGTG